TTGTGTGACTGTATGATTGTGTGACTGTGTGTGTGATTGTGTGACTGTAGGATTGTGTGATGTAGGATTGTGTGATTGTATGATTGTGTGACTGTATGATTGTGTGACTGTGTGTGTGATTGTGTGACTGTAGGATTGTGTGATGTAGGATTGTGTGATTGTATGATTGTGTGACTGTATGATTGTGTGACTGTGTGTGTGATTGTGTGACTGAATGATTGCATGATTGTATGGTTGTGTGACTGAATGATTGTGTGACTGTACGATTGTGTGACTGTATGATTGTGTGACTGTATGATTATGTGACTTTATGATTATGTGACTGTGTGTGTGATTGTATGATTGTGTGACTGTATGATTGTGTGACTGTATGATTGTGTGACTGTATGATTGTGTGACTGAATGATTGCGTGACTGTATGATTGTGTGACTGAATGATTGCGTGACTGTATGATTGTGTGACTGAATGATTGTGTGACTGTATGATTGTGTGACTGTGTGATTGTGTGACTGTGTGTGTGTGATTGTGTAACTGAATGATTGTGTGACTGTATGATTGTGTGACTGTATATGTGATTGTGTGACTGTATGATTGTGTGACTGTATGATTGTGTGACTGTATGATTGTGTGACTGTATGATGTGTGATTGTATGATTGTGTGATTGTATGATTGTGTGACTGTATGATTGTGTGATTGTATGATTGTGTGACTGTATGATTGTGTGACTGTATGATTGTGTGATTGTGTGACTGTATGATTGTGTGTGTGTGACTATATGATTGAGTGACTGTATGATCGTGTGACTGTGTGGTCGTGTGATTGTGTGATTGTGTGACTGTATGATTGTGTGACTGTATGATTGTATGATTGTGTGATTGTATGATTGTGTGACTGTATGATTGTGTGACTGTATGATTGCATGACTTTATGATTGTGTGACTGTATGATTGTATGATTGTGTGACTGTATGATTGTGTGACTGTTTGATTGTGTGACTATATTATTGTGTGATTGTGTGGTCGTGTGACTGTATGATTGTGTGACTGTATGATTGTGTGACTGTGTGCTCGTGTGATTGTGTGATTGTGTGACTGTGTGGTCGTGTAAGAGCGCTGGCGTGGCTTGGGCTGAGGAAGGAAGAAATAAAGAAACGTGACCGTCAGCAGGCGCCTGTGGTCGGTGTGTTGTTTGTTCTTCTTGTACATTCTCTCCATCCTGCCAAACGTCTTGGCTGTGGTAGCAATATCTCTGGTCTCATTACTTCATTCATTTATCCTTCTTTCCTTTAAACAGATACATAATATTATCATCATCATCATCATCATCATCATCATCATCATCATCATAACCATCATCATCAGCATCCAGTGCCAGATCTGCGACAGACGTCGGCGATCATGGTTCTCTATTCATTCCTTTGCTCGGAAGCTCTTAAAAAGGCTACACTTCCCTGATCTTTCCCGGTTACCCATTTGTTTAGGTTCTCCGAGAAGGTTGGTATGGATCTGCCCCTGCCTCGTTTGCCTTCAATGTTGCCAGTGAGAGCTAGATGTTCAAGACCTTTATGTCTATTCAGGTGTCCCAAAAACTGCATTTGTCGTTCCCTGATTGTTTTCAACAGTGAGCGTCCCACGTGGGCTTCATCAAGCACTACCTCATTTTATTTCTTTTCCTTCCATGATATTCTCAACAGTCTTCTAAGAAACCACATTTCTGTTGCTTCTATTTTATTTCCACTGTCTTTAGTGATTGT